GGACTTGATTTTACTTATTTTTTTTCCCTTAGCTTTGCTAGATTTTACTGTGTTTAGCTGCAGGTCTAAATTTCTGGTTTTGCAGTCTTGAGGCCACATCAAAGTACTTTAGCACTCCTGCATCAGCTGTGTCAGAAGAGGCCTGTCGTAGAGGTTTTCTGTTTGTACCTTTAAGACTGTACTTTACAAACTCTCTTAGAAACTCCTAGGAATTTATGTCATAGACTTCTATGTTCTGTGATTCTCTGAGTCGATACAAACTGAAGTGCCAGAACTCTCTGGTGGGTTTCAGCATTAAAATGCTAACAAAATGGGTTTAACTGAAAGTTGAAGAAGTATTTACTGGTGGAGGAGGATAAAAAAGTGCAGATACAACAGTAGGTGGAGCTGTTGGGAATGAAACTCCTAGGAATTTATGTCATAGACTTCTATGTTCTGTGATTCTCTGAGTCGATACAAACTGAAGTGCCAGAACTCTCTGGTGGGTTTCAGCATTAAAATGCTAACAAAATGGGTTTAACTGAAAGTTGAAGAAGTATTTACTGGTGGAGGAGGATAAAAAAGTGCAGATACAACAGTAGGTGGAGCTGTTGGGAATATGTGTTCGGGGTATTTACTGGTGGAGGAGAATAAAAAAGTGTAGAGACAACAGTAGGTGGAGCTGTTGGGAATTTAAAATGTGTTCGTCCTGTTGGTGATGCAAAATATTCTCAGTGCAAAGCTGAAGAACCTGCACGTGGTATGTGTCATTTCCTGCTACTAATGCTCCTACCACAAAAATGCTCCAGAACATTATCGGCACTGTTCTCTGGACTTATTTTACCTGTTAGTGTAGTAACTGCCTCCATTCTGTAGTTTGAATTTAAAGAAAACTGAGTTTCTTATAAAAACTAAGCATGAACTCTCAATATTTTGATATATAACACTCAATAACTGGATATTTTTGTATATGCACTGTTGTATTTTTAAATATGTAGCCTATAATAATGAAGATTAGAATTAAATCATGGATTATTCAGCCATAAGCATTTTAAAGGTAGCTTTAGATGTTTAAGAAAGGAAGCAGTTCACACTAAATCATAGATCCTCAATTCTCATGACCTGGAATGACCTTTCACATTGAGTAGTATTGTAAAGGATGATAAAAGTGGAAACAGAGAAGGGTGTTAATGGCATAGAAGTCAAAATGCAGAGCAAGCTGTGACACGTCATTTTGTACACTCATTTTGCCTTATAGGCTAAAGGAGCAATTCCCTTTTATCTTACTGTAAAACAGACTTTTTACCCCCTGAGTTAAAAGTTTTCATTGGGATTTTGGAGTGACTGCTTATGTAGGAGCTTGACAAATAAAATGAATGGCAGTACATCACTTGTAACCCCTGACTTGTTTGGGGGTTTTATGCAGACTGTAGTAAATGGAACATAGATGTGCTTGGCCTGGTAACCACCTTGTAGTTCCAGAAAGACCAATTCATTCCCCAAATCCAGAATTAGAAGGTGACGACCTCTTTGATATCTTAAAGTCAAGATTCATCTACTAGTTATTTAGAAAATACAAAGGAAGCTGACAGCTGAAGGAGCTTCCACAAATTTTGTTTTGGGGTTTCAAGATTTTCCTTTCCTTTTTTACACTTCTGCAAAGCAGCATAACTCTTGCTTTAAATAGCATAAATCCTGGCTTACAAGAAAACACAAATAAACCCAGGCAGTTTCACTTATTTTTTTTTGGCTGGAAAACAGGAAGGGACCTTACGAGTCAGCTGGAGCAGCTGCCCAAAGGATACGTAGAGATTTATATGTTTGCAGTGCATTTGAGTATGACAGGATTTATATGTGCTCTGTCAACTTTCCAATGAATAATGCTTGCTATAAGCAATGCCACAGTACATGACCTGCAATGGCTTTTGAAGTAAATGATAACAGCTCTTTTGAGATGTGCTTGAATTTCTTCAGTGTCACCAGCATTTGGTAAGACAGACATACCTCTGTTCTTCTAGAAGGCAAGTATGATTTTTGCAAGTAGACAAATACTTCCTGACTCTTTCAAATGCAGTGTGCATATTTAGCTATGATTCTGCTTCAGTTTTTCCCTTGCCCCATTCCTGCAAAAAGCACATGCAAATGAAAGCTAGCTATGCATAAAAACTGATGGATTTAGAAACTTCATGTGTGTTTATTTAGAATTAACAATTACTATTTAAGCTCTCTCATTCCAATGACACACGTAATACAAATGTCACATTAAAGACATCCCTCACTGTATAAAAGTTAAGACACACTGTAACAGGAAGTCTTAGCATTATTATTCTGTGTATGAAATCTGTAAATCATGTCCATATGCTTAAAAAGCAAGTCACGCTGAACACAGTAATAAAAGGCATTTCAAACTTCAAAGAGAATGTTCCCCTGCTCAATGACCTTCCCTCTGAGTAGGTCATTTAGTCATAGGTTAAGAGCTAATGACATCAGTCAAAAAGCAGATCTGCTATGAATTTTACATGCCTCATTTAAGCCTTCTGAACTGTTATATTAAATATCTTATTAAATTCTGATGCATTGGTATGAAAGATAACATAAAGCATTTCTGTTTTAAAGTTTGTTGAATATTTTTTAGTGAAGAATACAGAATTTCACAAATAAAATAATATTATGAGCTTTTATAAATCCTCATAAAAATCTAATTATCTGCTTGTGTTCCTATCTCCACCCAGAGCTTCCTTTTAGTCCTGGTTTTCCACATAAAGGATTTATGGCCATGACATGGTGTTAGTGACATCTAGATCTTCTTGGGGCTGTGGCAGTAAAGACCATCACACAGCACTGGCATGCACAGCATTGTGCTTAATCTCTGACAATCCTATTCAAAGCATAAAAAGTACATTCGTAATGCTTCTGGAAATTAGGGTCAAGAACCTCTAAGGAGCATGAAAACTAGATAAAAATCTAAGTGTGTTGTCTGCTTATGTCATTTTTGTTAGTGAATGCTGCCACAAGCAGTTTCCTTTTCTGCCTTCACAGTAAGTTTAAGATCTGTTCTGAATCCACAGGCTCTCTGGCACATTGCTCCTTCAAGACAGAAATGCTTCCTGGGTAGAAGAACCTGTAGGGAGTTAAATGTGAAAATAACACTGAGTTTTACATTGATCTTCAGGTGTGTTTTTGATCATCACACATTCTCTGTTGTTTCAGCATGTTTCTATCTGTCCTGGTTTTGGCTGGGATAGAGTTAATTTTCTTCTTAGTAGCTGGTACAATGCTGTATTTCAGATTCAGTATGAGAATAATGTTGATAACACATTCATGTTTTCACTGTTGCTAAGTAGTGTTTACTCTAAATCAAGGACTTTTCAGTTTCCCATGTTTTCCCTCAACCAACGAACCTTTTCCCTTCCCTTCCCTTCCCTTC